ATCTTTGTGAACATTTTACTTGGGATTACAACAAATTGGATTAATTGCATTAAAACCGATGATCGTCTATAATCTGTATTAAGATTCCCCGGCTTTGCGCAATGACTTCATTCAACTGAATCAATTAGCGTTTGCTCAAATGCCAAAAGGATATTCATTTATTTTGGGATAGTTTCAAGCATATCACTGTGAAACTCTACTTGCTGCTTTCCAATACGCAAGCAGATAAACGGAAGATTTTGAGTGAGTTGAAAATTTGTGTTACCGCAACGCGACTTTGGTGACTTTGAGGGTGGTCACTGCCAGGGTTTCTTTACGTCCTCAGTGGTTCTTTTACGTCCCTCCGATGTTGGTTAGTAATGATGAGTGTGGAGAGACGGGACCACCATTTGAAAGTGGTCATCCGAGTCACTTAAAAGTCTAACYATTTGCAGATGTAATTACAACGGCAGCACTTTCTCCATAGTTATTTTAAGACCAACTGAGTCAACCGGTTGTCGGATGAAAGTTTCACTAGTTTGCCATACTGTTCTGTAAAAAGAATTTCGTAATAACGAGAATGAGTGTGTGTACTCTTTTTGTCACTGAAGAAATCTACTTCTTAAGAAACCACGGAGTCCATATTGATTTGACTAATACCCATATGAGCCTCTGGATTTAATTTCTGGATTTACTGTTGAATAGACCCTTTTCGAATTCCAAATTACCGCTGTGTTTCTTGATTACAGACTCATTTGCACAGGTTTAGCCTCGAGTTTGTGCAGAATATTTACGTGTTCCAGTCAAGGTCCGTCGAGTTTCAAAGTGTTTGTATTGTTGAAGTTGTGCATTCTTTACTTTACCGTTGGTATTTGTGAATATTTAAACACTGATGCGAGGCTAACCCTGTGCAAATGAGTCTGTAATCAAGGAACACAGCGGTAATTTGGAATTCGAAACTGGTCTATTCCTAAATGAGAGAAATATCATTTTTGCTATAAGCCACTGCCAAGTAGATATATTTTGTAATTTTTCTGAGATACTGATACTTTAATGGTGACCCACAAGAAAAAATACCACTTCTACAATGACATGATTTGATAGTAGCGTGCCTATAAGAGTTAGTGTTAAATATGAGTGCTAGCTATATTACAGCCTCATTACTACCCATGTTATCATGCATTGCACTGCACACTTGATATGTCACAGGCAGCCCAATCTCTTATTCTGTTGTGTTGTAGTTTTTGAATATTAACGGAAATATTTCGTAGCGCCGTATAATTAGTATTTTAAGAATAAAAACGACTTTCCTTGATAGCTTGTTGTATTAATTCTACAAGCTACGAAATATTGCTAATATTATTAATATTCAAATACTATTATACAGTTATTCATGCATCATATGTTAACTAGTGTTCTTGAAGTTGGGAATATTGCATCAGTATTCCATGCCAGGAGAACTATGTATTATGTATTATATTAACTTGCTTCAATGGCGTAAAAAATCTTTAATTTATCTTTATCATGCATATGTACGTGGGAATATCTGAACTGAGCTGGGGGAAAATCTGAACTGAGTCTTGCTGCCTACCATTTGATGTGATTCCATCTTAATCTTACTAATCTCACGCGAGATATTTTCAAACCTCTATCTTATGTCTTTCAAAATAAAGCTTTTTAAGAAGCAAAGTAGTGTGAATGAAGCTGAAGTGTGAAAACTCATTCATATTTGAGCAGAACAATGATAAAACTAGTTGCTTATCTATGGAGTCCTATCCCTTCCGTAGGGAAGAATGTTGGACCTAAAAAGAGTAACGTGAAAGAACCAGTCTGAATCTGTCGCTAAAGCATAGACTTGAAAAACTATCAGTTGTAAATCTTTTTCAATGTTCAACATTTTTGTGTGACCTTCTTCATGGATACTGTAAAAATAACAAATATTTGAAACGAAAAGTCAATATAAAAATGAATAAAAAAATAATAAAAACAGAGATTTTACTAACCAGCGAAAACAAGCAAAAGCAAACGAAACAATATACTACAAACAAATCAACTAAATCGGTAATTTCAACTATTTAAACTAATTTCAAAAGAGATTCGAATCACTGAGGATGAGTAACGTTGAACTGAAAGATCAAAAGATTATTAAGATCTTTGCAGTTATTTGGAGGTTATCTATTGCGATTTTATCATTTCTAGCAGTTGTTTATAATGGTGAAGGAGGTGGTTCGAGGGAAAGCCCTGCGGACAATCAGGATAGATGAAGAAGTGGTCAAGCATCCATCCTACAAAACGAACCCTTTGGATAACTAAATCTCTTGTCAAAAGCTACGAAATTTTTATAAACTTTTGCCTGGAGGAGTGAGAAAGAATTTTACAATTACTTGGGATTTTTAAAGTCAAATCAACTGAAATAAAGCGGATGGAAATGAATCCCAAACCCATGGGAGGTATGTGTTTAAGATTTACATATGAAAGGTTCTTTCATCAGAAGTCAGTAAACTGAGTGTATAGCGTCTGATTTGGATAACCTCCTGGTCTGGTAGCTTTTAGACAGTCGTCCACCGAATTTAGACATGTTTGGATACGAATTGATCCCAGTGAGTGCCCTGTCATATTAATGGCTAAAAGCAATCGGAGTAAATAAATTCTGAAGTGCCTGTTTAGTTATGCATGGGGAATAACATATATATACAAGTCTAGGATCATTCAGTGGTCAGTTCGCTCGCTGTAGTTTAACCTCTGGGTGTACCGGCTTCGCACGCTCAGAGTTTGTTTGAATGAGAGTCAAGAACTTCCACTTATTCTGAGGAGGAAAAAAATTTTCATCTGAGGTTTGTTTGATCATGTTCTTTAGTGGAATGTAGTGTATAGATGTCAGTAGTGAAATGTTGGTTTTTTAGTTCATAAGAGCCTCTATTGTAACAACTAAAAGGGTCGTCAGACTATTTGGCGTCTAGATTATACGGACCGGTACATGGCATCGGTCCTTGGTAACAAACATTGGAAGACACTGCTAAGCCTTTTAGGCTAATTCCATTTTCTTAAGGGTCACAGAGGGGTTTATAGTCCTAAACTATTTTATACTAATCTTATTAGCTGATATGGATCCAGCTATTTATCAATGTGGTGTCCAGTAAGAAAGGCTATTGCCTCTTCTAATGTCAGTCCTATAATATAGTAAAGATAGTCATATGCATGAAAGTAAAGCAAGCAAAACTGAGTATGGCAATTGTCGCCAGTCTGTCTGTATGCTCCATATTCTAAAAGCCCTAAATCGATCCTAAATCCTACATATTATCGGTACTGTTAAGTTTCTGATGTAGCTCACTTCACAGCCGTTCAATATTCTATTTATTTTTCAAGTGTTGGGTGGGCAGAATTGAGTTTTGAGATGGGTTTTCATATTGGTACAGGAATTATTTGGACAAGTGCGGAGTCTCTTAGGGTCTTAAGTGATTATCTTCATATGAATGATTTCGACTGTATTTTCCAAACGGTTTCTTAATAGAGTCATTAGACGAAAAAAAAAACAAAAAAACAAAAAAACAAAAAAAAAAACCTCAAATACATCAGAATCGGATATAATGAATACTTGGAAGTAATTTTTCTCCAAGAAAGAATCGTATCAATTATAATTCGTGGCTAATATCAACGTTTATTCTTGTAGAGAATGATCATTATAAATTCATTTGACATTGTAATTGTGTATCAAAACTTAACAACTTGCAGCTCAGCATTAAGGAACCTCAAAAACAAAACGCGCACAATCCTTGTTAGTATTACTTAACATACCATGACCTACCATTAATAGTGTTGTTTTCTCGTGGATTAGGATTCTATTTATTCATTTGTGATTTAGACACTTAAGGGCAGCATTTAGTGGTCAAGCTTGATGGAGCATGCTTCTCAGAAAACCATAGCAAGTTGAAGAACAATTTCTTTGTGCACTCGGAGTTGTCTTCCTAGCTCTCTTCAGTTATCTGTAGCCTGTTTCTTTGATCTATCGACTTTTTTCTTATTATTGTCGACATTCGACTTTAAAAATCTGCTTTTGGGTTTCCTGTTCCTGTACCTTTTGCCACAGGCAACCCAGTCTTGAAAAACAGTCTTCATTGCTTAGGTTTGCATGCGACCCTTTCTCGCAATATTGGCGGAGGTTAGAAATATATATTTTAGACTACAATATGGACTGTCTACTCTATTGCCTATAGCGTATTTCCGTCAGCCAGTGCAAAAAGGCGGATTATACCGCAACATTGAAATGGCTTTCTATTGTTCCATAACCAGTTCGTGTCCATTTTCCATTCCTCCGTATGGTGGTGGTAAAATAAGCACGAAAAACCAACAAAATCATGTAGTAACTTTTCTCAGTAACACGAATCTTCACAGTGTTTTAGTATGTCGACCATTTTGATGCCATCACTTCTGATGTCAGTGGAGAGAAAAAGGCTCCTTGCCGCAGTAACAATCCCATCCAAACTGGAGGTCAAAACAAAATAACTTTCTTGAGCTGCGGCCTGAACTTTTTAAATGTTTTTACTCCATGAGGTAGAAATTTAGTAAGTAATCTATAACGGGAGAAATTTAATATTGATTTATCTAAATTATTTTGGCACTCAATAGGTAATCAATAGCACAAATCTTCTACAGACCATAATGCACTATTTTCGAATTCGCTGTCTCATAAAGGTCTATTAAGTGTCCATTAATTAAGCTGTCTGTTGCGTTAAGTATTTATTTCCTAATTCTAGTCCGAGCAGAAGTTTTTGTGACCTTAGCAAATGTCTTGCTAATAAAGGCCGAYCACTTATACACCAATTAATACAGTGTTAGTTTCTTTGGCACGATTGCGGTTCGATCTTGTAGMCAGGATCGTTAAAGGACAGTGAAAAAAGTGCGCAAAACGCGAGTTTCATTTAACGAGCACTAATATTATTATTTTCATGAGGATGATAAATAATGACGATGATTATCATAATGATGATGGTGATGATGACGATGACTATTATTCTCTACAGATACGGCCAGAGTACTGATTCATTAAGTCATGGCTCAGCAGCTTGCCGTTGTGGTGGTTGTTATCTGCTTCGTCATAGCTGTAGATGCTTCATACAGTCCATTTCCGATACAATTCAATGAAGGTAAGTAGGAGATCATATACACCCCGTGCATCTATACTCCTGAACTCCCATAACTATAATCACAACTAATTCCCCCTTGTACGTTGAGGTCCGCCTTGTATTGACGGATCTAGAATATCCCAATGTTGGTGATGTGCATTCACTTCTCAGACTCGATAGTTAAACCAATCAAACGTTAACTTGAACGGAAAAAACTTTTTCCCGCCAATGAAAATCCCGCCATAAAAAGTTTGGATCCAAAATGATTTCGAGAGGGGTGACTGTTGCCTAGAAAGCCAATATATGCCTTCTACTTTAGATATTACATTACTCTTAATAGACCTCTTTACCTTGGGTGTAATATTTTCTCAATTCAGCGGACCACGTGTCATTCTCTTGGGGATGATGAAGATTCTTTGTTTGAGTTGTATCCATATTCAAGTGTCTTCTCATGCGCAACCGTTAAACTAATGATACTTTAGGAAATGACACGTGGTCTGAAATGTGAAAACATTGCGCCGATTCGTTCTTGCCAAACCAACTAATAYTTCCACCCAAGTACTCACGACCCCTCTTGATTATCCCGTGATGCTCATGGCCAATCCTGATTCATTTAATCAACTTAAATGTTAACTCAAACAGATGAAATTTCCAGCCCACCTTTGAAGCCCGATCACTGGTTATACGAAGGCGACATCATGTTATCCAAAGAACAAAATGAAATGGTAGAGTTTCCCAAGAAGAAAGGAGAAGAAAAACCTTCCAGTGGAAGGGCGTACACTGCTGCTCGTGAAGAGAAGAGGCTGTGGTTTGGAGGTGTGATACCTTATGTTATTGACTGCAGTCTGAGTAAGTATAACACCTTCAAATACTTATACCATCCGGCCAGTTTTACCAAACAGTAGACAAGCTAGTGAGTGGAAGCTCTCAATGATATAGAATTTTACCGAACGTTTTCTGCACTATTTCCCAGCATATTTTCTCCCAGCATATTTTCTTCTGTGCTGACATTATTAACATATGAACATAAGACATTTTAAGCTTGTGGTAAGCAATAATATGCATCACGCAACACGCAACATGCGACAAAAACTTCACCAACCTTTTTAAATAGCTGTATTGTTTCCATTGCCAATCTGACATATAGCTAGGTTGATATCGATATAGTTGTCATTTCTTGTCTTGTGTGGAATTTTTAACAGATGATCTGAATTGCAAGTTTTATCACAGAAGTGTAAATAGATTATTGAACACGGAGGGAGTGTTTGCCTTTCACAAACACACACACATACACACGCACGCACGCACGCACGCACGCACGCACGCACGCACACGAAAAATAAAAAATAAAAATAAAAATAAAAAGAAGGGAAAAAACCAGCTATGAGATTTGTCTTCCAACCTCCCGTTCTGTCATCCAAGGTCTTAGTTTTTCTCATCTTTTTCTTTGTCTTCCTCCCTCTCCCTTCTGCCATCTGTTTTCCAACAATTTTTTTCGATCACCTTTTTCTATTTTGTCTTATTAATTATCYATTGTTATCTTTTCAGAGAACATGCCAGCTTTAGTAGACATAGTGAAGGGAGCCATGAAAGAGTGGCAATCCAAAACATGTGTGACGTTTGTGGAGCGAGACAAGGAAGACGACTATGTACAAATCATCCGGGGTACACAGTAAGACGCTTTTCTCTACTTTATTCTGTTAAAGTATTTGTGGATCAGTTAAGAAGAATAATTGTACTTTCCTTGGTTTTGTCTTTTACAAAGACGTAAGCGAAAAGGGTGGGGCAGGGGAATGGCGTGTTGTAGTAACCTGGGTGCGAGTCACGTTACTCTGGAGCGCGGGATTCCTGAAGCAGCCATGTTGTTTTACGAGTGTTGAGTTGTTCAAGAATAAAGCACTARATTGTACCGTAGTCGAGTGCTACTTCATTATAGGTGTAGGGCTTCYTTTTATAGTTGTAGTCTAAAATCCAAGTCTTATATGAGATTAAGATTAAGAAAGAGGAAATTAAGAAAGCTATAGTGTCTAACAATTGTGTATAAAGGTTTTTTTAAATATGTTCTACTGTAGTATCGTTAGCGTCCCTCAACTGTCTTCCTGCTAACGGGAAGACAGACAGACAGACAGACACAAACAACGAAACACCGACACACACAGGCATACTTTGACAAAGTGGCAGAAAGAAACTTTTCAAAACTCGAGAGAAGTCATAAACTCATGAGGAACAATCCCCGACTGGGCATAAATAAGACCAAAAGATAAAACTGTTAGGCTCAGCATGAGCCGAACCTAATTGACATAATATTGTATACGTAATTATCTATACATTTTCACAGCTTTATTTATTCGTCTGATTCTACAGCTGTTATAGTACGGTGGGCCGATCCAAGGGGAAAAAGGTTCTGTCCGTGGGTCATGGATGCGAGTATCATAACGTGATGTTACACGAACTAGGTCACGTGATAGGCTACTGGCACGAGCAGAGCAGGCCTGACAGAGATGATCATATCAGGATACTCTGGAAACACATCGCGCGTGGTAAGTAATACAAAACAAAACAAAAAATATTTAAAAATAAATAATCGAAAAAAATTAAACTTAAAATAAATTTTATAGATACATCGAAACAACCTTTGGGCTATGTGTGCAAAAAGGATGCGAGCGCAAACTAGCAAAGCGTTTAAAACATGCAAGTAACCTGCATTCGTTTTCCTCTATACTTCGTAGAGAATAAATCAGCAACAAAAAAGTCTTTCAAATCTAATGTTTACTCACGTTATAAAATAGATATCTCCCTCGTGACGTCCACGTTTATATTCAGAATAGATCGATTGTAGCTGGGCTGATCTGCAGAAAGAAATTTTGAATACCCGATTTCTAAGTGTCTATGGCATTTTAACAAGCGCGCGCAGTAAGGGAGAGAGGTATGGGGTCGAGAGTGCGGTGCAAGCGGCCATGTTGCTGTCAAAAAGCGGCGATCTCATCATTGCGCCATCGTGGAAACATGTTTTTACACATATGTGGTTTAAAATGTTTTGGGAGAATGTAAGATAACAAAGTGGTTAAAACCAAAAGAAAGTAAAGAAATATTTCGATGGAATGCGGCAGCGATGATGGCAGATGTGAATCACTTGAAAACAAGGAAGAGATCCTTCCCGAATTCGGTTGCGCGACCCACTAATAATGATTCTAAATCAATGTTACTTTTTACATCTTAACACGTCCAGCCGCCTCCTGGAACCATTATTTCTTTTTCACTCAAGAGAATTCAAGGAAGGTCTCATGATATGATTCGGGCCTAATTTAATGTTATGTGGATTTTTCATAGGATGGGAGAATTCCTTCTTCAAGCTGAACTGGAAAGCCGTAGATACGATGCAAATGCCCTATGACTATTCGAGCATCATGCACTATCCATTCAACGCCTTCTCTGAAAACTCACATAAAAGAACAATCGTGCCACTACGACCTGTAAAGGCGCAACCTTATAAACAACTCTCACAGCTGGACATCCACAAGACAAATATCCTTTATAGCTGCTCAAGTAAGTCTTGTATGATGTTGCTTTAAATAATTTGGACCCAAAAAAATTTARAATGCTCCGTTTAAGTTACCCCGTAAGAATTAGTGCCAGATCTAGAAATTCAGCAARGGGATCAAAGCGCATAGAGTGAACCCCGTAACTATCGCCTTGCGATAACCCAGATATTATGGACACCGCGCTATTGCGGACAGGAACAAAATCCCCGACCTAAAATACTGACAAAAAATGACCTTAACCGACCCTTCTCAAAATTATCTTGAATGGTACGCTAACATTGTATTACAAAAGAAATAGAACAAAGTTTCATCGAGAAAAGTGTAATTTCTTTTGTACTTTAATAATGTCGAAAAGGGTCCATTAATAGTCCCTGTCACAGCTCCTTGCGCCATCTTGAAAGGTAGCCGTGCCTTTGCATCGAAGCGAGACAAAAAAACTCTATATCACTGAAATGAATACTAAAAAATTTGCACTTAATCTCTAACAGATAGTCCCGTAGATAACGAAGTAGAGGTTGACCAACAGGAATCATCCGTCGCAGCTTTACGGAGAAAGAAAAGAGCAGTGGTTGCAGAAGATATTGATAGACCAACCACAACAACGATAAAATATAACCAAAGATCAGTGATTGCAGAAGATTTTGATAGAACAACAACGACAACAACAAACTCCAACCAAAGGTCGTGCACAAATAAAGTAGGAGACGAAGCCTGTAAATACTGGGCAGACAAAGGATTTTGTACCAAGAGGAAAGATTTCATGTTGATTGACTGTATGAAGAGCTGTAACGCTTGTTCTACAGGTAAGATATCTTTTTATGATTACTTGATCTCCCTTGATGTCATTTCCTGTCTCGCGCAGAGTACGTCCTTTCCTGTTACGTCCAGAATCATGTCCGCTGAAGACACGCCATAAAAACACCAATGTTGTTCCGAAAGCCCGCGATTCCTCGGCGCTGACCAAGAGAAACGCAGACTCTGGAGACGGGTTTTTTTTGTTTTTAAGAACTTCGCGCATGCGCACGCATTTTTACGCCGTGTTTTAACTGGATGATTTTGATAGCGTGTAGCTGAGTTGACTTTCAGAACAAACTTAAGGGCAACCAATCAGAATTGAGAATTCAATGATAGTGGAACGCAGGGTGGAATCCCATTTCACTTGATAAGAGAAATTCACATTGTATTCAGTCCCTGCTCGGAAAATGCTAACCCAAAACATTTGACCCATAATTCCTTTCGGAGGTGATTCTARTCAATGGTTTTCTCTCGTAGAGGAATTTTACCGTGGCACTCAAGTCCCTCGCGCCACTCTCATATCTCACGTCTCGCCTTTAATTCAACATGGTAAAAGAATCCTTACAGACGACGAGCGAAGGCAAAAGAGAAGAGAAGCCAAGAAGTTGGCCAAACGGCAATTAAAATTAATGCAGAAAGAAAGACAAGAAAAGTGCAAAGATAAATCAAGATCGTGTGGATACTGGGCAAAGAAGGGTTTCTGTCAAATGAGAGAAGATTTTATGAAAAAGTATTGTATAAAATCATGCAAGAAGTGTTACCCAGGTTAGTGTGAATAATAGACCTCATCCACTGTTTTCCCATTTCAGATAACGTGTCATTCCCTAGAGTATTATTTCTTYGTTTAACGGCTGCACATGAGAAGACACATGAATACGGATACAACTCAAACGAAGAATCCTATTCTCAAGAGAGTGGTCTGAAATGGACAAAATATTACTCCAAAGTGGATTTGGTCACTATTGATTTCTCTATTCATTTATCAATTAATTCAAAAAGATCTTAATAATCTTTACGAAGGGTTTTTCGCCATGCACCATGCAATTGCTACACATCATTATGTTCACATGTCATAAAATTGAATGCGCGTAATTACATTATTCAATAATAACTGAATTAAAATATACTTTATAATATAGATATCGATGAAATACCAGGTTTTCTCTAGTGTCGAAAACTTGATATCTTTCAACAGTGGAAGATA